GCCCCCACACAGTCGCCATTTTAATGATGGGATTTTAGTATCTAATAGATTATAAAGCATGAAAAGAGATTTTTTTTCCGTTGATAGGTAGACCTAAGGAAAGAAGAGAGCAAATCCTCAAGTTAATCTCATGGTGAAAATACTCAACCTCGCTTTGGTAAGCACCTCACATATCATGTAAATAAGTGCATAATGTAAGGATGCCATTTGAAATAAAATTAAACGCGAGTATGTGATATCTCTCGGGAGTATTAATTAAAATATTGATGAAACTGGTCTTTCAAAAGAAGCCTACTACTTACATGTTCACCAACATTAAAACTGTTTCTTCTTTAGTTCGTTCAAAGTCTGACAGCCTCTCTTCAGATGGTGTTAAGCAAAGGTAACACTTACTTTAATAAAATCAGCTTTGTATTTTACAGCAATCTTCGATTGAGTGTCCAAAGTAAGTCAAGATTGTACTGGTTTTATCTTTGTTCGCTATTTGACTGATGTCGAAAACTTGCGCCATCCTTTCAACCAATCAGATGCAAAAACTAACACCGATTTCCACTTGGTCACCCGCGTTTTCCCGCGCTTTAGGCAGATTGCTTGTTTTTAATTACTTTAAGTTTTCATTCACTCCATGTGACATTTTGCTTTCTTCTGATTGGCTTTAGTGCTTCCTTTGGTTTTGTTTCACTCAAACACTCAATTGAGAGGCGCTCTTTGTTGAAGATTAAGTAGAGACGTAAATAAAAAATTATGATATGTCCATTCTTGAGTTTCTTAATACCGAGCAGTCATTTTCAATCCCAATAAATATTGAAGCAGAACACATTGCATTTTTAAGGCAGGGTTCGCGAAAGCTGCGAAGCTCTACGGTAGCTCGTCTTCCGCTTAAAAACTCCTATTTGTCCCCTTGTTCGATCACATCAATCATTTTCATTTTGTTTATTTTCAAGCAATTTTAATTTGCATATGTGCTCATATGGTGGCAATATAGGGGGCTCTGTAATGTCGAAAAATTGTAATTGCAGTAAAGAGATATGAAGGCCTTCTGTTTACCCAAACAAAACACCTCTTATTTCCTATCGCACTATCGTACAGAAATCCAGCTCGGCGTGTTGTTGCCAATGACGGGCCGATGGCCAATTGGAACACGTACAGCTGCAGCCGTTCCCATGGCAATATCTGCCATCATGAACGATTCCAGCCTTTTACCTGGATACAACATCTCGTTCAGGATTGAAGATAGCTCGTGCGAACCTGAGCAGGGCTTGCGAGCAATTGTGGGATTTCAATCAGTTGATGTCTTCATTGGACCTGCGTGCTCCGTTGTCGCCGAACCAGCAGCTCTTCTCGCCAAGATATGGAAGAAACCCATCATCACATACGCCGCTTCTTCCAATAAGTTCATCGACAAAAACGTTTACAGTACACTCGCCACCATTACGGCTTACGCAAGACGCAGCGAAAGATATACACCGGGGTTTGTTCTTCAGATTCTAAAGGCGTTTAAATGGACAATTCTTGCCATTTTGAGCTCGTCTGAGGTTGAATGGAAGACCATGGCTGGTAAGATACGAAGTGTGGTAGAAAGCGATTCAATAAAGGTTTCGTTGTTCGAAACTTACGATAATAAGAGCCCAGAGTTTGAAACAGTTTTGACGAAAGGGAAAGATGTGACACGAGGTAAGTTGACGAATTAACTTAGGAGTGTAAGAGATACCTGGAGGAGAGTTCTTTTTTATTTTTAAAGAGATTTAACACCGCGTTTACGTGAAACGTGAACGGCGAGAGTAACCACGTTACCTCGATTTTCCCGCCTTTTTTCGGGTTTATCGGTTGCGCTTTGCCGTCTCCACGTGAAAGTAAGCCGTTTCACGTTTGCCTTGTACGTAGGATTTATCTCCATAATTTTTCTCACAGAGTTAGTTCCCGGAAGAAAGTGTTCCTTTAAGTGATACAATGGCAGGTGAAGTTTCATGTTTGAAATCATTCAAATGACGCACTTTTCATCCGCAGATAGCTAGCTGCAAGAACTCACATTCACTCATGAGATGGCTTCATCGAAACTCGAAGAGACATGAGCTCACGCGTAGCTAAAGCAATGAGGTTCACGCTAGTTTGCGTGAAACATGAAAAGACAAGCTAACGTTTGCCGTTTCACGTGAACACGGCACCAAATCTCTTTCTTATTTCCAAATCATACCTCTTTGTAACACAACATCACTTTTCCATTATCACTGAGAGGGTGCTCATAGAAAGTCATAGTATCGCTGTATTTAGTGTTTGCTGTCTGTAACATGACAAGACCATTACCCATGTTGAGCGACTGCCCTAATTGTGGAGTTTTCACCCCAACATCTTTCAAACTGTTTTTTAACTGTGCAGTTGTGATTCCTTTCAAAATTGACCAGAAGGCAACAAACAGAAGCCTTCACAACACAATAATAAACTCAGAAAATTAAACTCGAGCACCTGACCTATTTCGAGAGGGTTTATTGTGCCTCGACCAATCACACTGGAGATCAGGCCCCGGTTGTTCGAGGGTCAGATAACGCTATCCTCTGGATAAATCTCCATACGGTCGATAAAGCTGTATGTTTTGCTATTACTTATCCGCTGAATAGCGATTTATCCGTTGGATAGCGTTATCCACCCTTTATACAACTGGGCCCAGGATACGCGAGAATATACACAAAATCACAAACCTTTTTTGCCTATGCTTATAGTTTCATTTTATCAAGTCTGGTCGGCTTGTTCTTCTCGACACGACATTCAGAAATATTGCTTTTGTACGCGCTTTTCAGAGTTTTAATCCACTTTTTCATTTGTTTACTTTATTATCAAATGTATGAATTTCTCTAATTTTGTTGTTGTTGGTTTTTTTATTGCTTTGGTTTTCTCCCCTGCCGTCAGTTTTTCTTATACTATGTTATATCAACGAAGTTGTATCCATCATGGAAACCGCTGAACGTTTGGGTATGACGAATGGAGAATACGCCTTTATAACATTAGACCTAAATACAGACGTGTTTTACAAAAACGGCAAGTGGACTGGAAACGAGGGATGGGGCTCCAAGTTTCCAAATATATTGAACGGCATTATTGATCTCAGTGTTTATCGACCTGAGATATCCATGGAGTTCAAAAAGAAATATAGGGACATGGAAAATAAACTGGAAGCTTCCATCAAAGCAAAGCTATATAACGAGGTAATCTATTTTCTACACTTATTTTCCGACCGACTGACAAACTGCTAGCTCAATTACTGACCAATTGACTGACTGACTCACAAACTGACTGAATGTCTGACAAACTGATTGAATGACTGACTGACAGCATGACTGACTGACTACCTGTGCGTTTGACTGACCGGCTGACTGATGGACTAGCTGACTGACTTATTGACTGACTGGCTGACAAGACCATTAAATACCTGTCCGACCGAATATTGGACAGCCAGTCAAAGGCATCCAAAGGCTCACCTCTCCTTACTAAAATATGTTTTTGGACACATTGGTTTCCAGACCTCTTGGTACGCATCCTTCGTACATGATTCCGTCCATCTTTACTGTTTGGCTGTGAACGACACAATATCACGTGGGTATGAAATCACCAACACTTCAGAAGTTCTCATGAACATGTTCAACAGACGTTTCCAAGGTAACTCCTTTCTTACCTCACTCACTCATTACGTTCCCATGACATCACTCACTCATTACGTTCCTATGACATCACTCCTCATTACGTCCCTATGACATCACTCCTCATTACGTTCCTATGACATCACTCCTCATTACGTTCCTATGACATCACTCCTCATTACGTTCCCATGAAATCACTCCTAATACAGATAAATAAATTATACTCAAGAATCAAAGAGAGTCGCCGGCAAACTTTCATGAATACAGCATTAAGGAAGTCGGTAATGAAATTTCTTGAAAATTCTAAGGAACCTTGAAAATATTATGAGTCCTGACAATCAATTCTAAAGATAATACTAACGCCATCAGGAACGTTGCTAAGCAACAAAGCTATCTAATCGTCGTCTTGTGTTCTTATTTCTCCAAAAGTAAGCATTAGCTTCTCCTGTTCTAGCTCTAGATGTTTTCCAATTCATTTTACCCTTTTATTTGATTCTTTCTATTTCTCTCCGCTTTATGGTTCATATTTTAATAATGTTTCAAACTTTACGTTCGGCAATTCAGGAGAATCTGGTCACATTTTTATGGAAAATGGAACCCGAATACCAGAGTTTGTCGTTGGAAATTTTCGGAATGGCTCGTACAAGTTCGTCGGCGACAAAACTGATCTACTGCAAAATGGCACAGGGTCAGTGTATCATGAAATACGGCTTCTTCATCAGCCCGACATACGATGGCCAGGTGGATCAAGCACAGTTCCTGTTAGTAATCCAGTCTGCGGTTTCACCGGAAAGGATTGTCACCAGGAAGAGGAGGACGCAGGTGAGAAACTACTGATCTTCTTTAGGTTCAACGTCTTATACTTTGCGTGCAATGCCGGAAGAACATATCAACAATTACGCTCAAGCAACAGCATCTAACCTTTTTGAGTTTTTTTTTTCTTTATTACCAAAAAAATAACATCTATATTAGCGTATATTAGCGAGAGTGGTATGTTGTTCGCACCAATCAGATGGTTTAGGGTATGTATCTCGCACCAATCAGATCGCAGCATTAGGGTATGTATCTCGCACTAATCAGAGCGTCGTTTCTGTTCTTTGGTTTGAGAGGTATTCAAATTTCAACGAAGCAATGGGGGATTCGGAGAGAGCAGTTCGTAAAATCATCTTTTAGAATGAGAAATGTTGGCTTTTCTGTGTTTTTAACGTGTATTTTACCGCGCTTTATGAGAAATGCGATACTACTGGACAGATGAAAGATATCAGATTACCTATACTAAACGTGTTACTCATGCTGTAAAAAGGTTGGATAGTTGTTCGAGAGAAAATGGAGTTCTGTGCACTGTAGCATGATCATGGTTATTGTTCCTTCACGAAGAGAGTGGATGGAAAATTTTGAATCAAATATTGCTTGAGGTGTTGATGAATTGCACCAAACATTTTGATTTGAGCAGTTCTTTAACGGCAAGTTGTGTTGCAAGATTCATGATTTCTTGAGTGTACCGATTATATTCTTTTGGATTCGTTTGCTCGGTGCTATCTCTAGATGAATGTCTTATTAAAATTAACTATGGACGATTTTAAGTATGTTTTCGATGACTGGAGAAAGTGATCTTGTGAAGTCGTTTGTGTTTGACCAACTACGAATTCAGATACCATCGTAAGCATGTTTATTTGATTTTGTTATCTGGAATGAATGATTTACGGAGGTAAGTTAATATGATGTGACCTACTAACGTCGAAAATATGTATTAAGTCGAAAGAACAGTTTTGGTTTCGGTCCGCATATTTGTCAACAAAATAAACACACCGCTTAAAAAGACGATAATACGGACCACGTGCAAAGCTGTCAATTGTTTCTCGAATGTTGCACAGGTTAAATATTGAATAGTGACATCACATTTGCATCTCCATCTACATCTACTTTTGTTACGTTGGTAAAATCTGTGCAGACATCGCACCAACCAACTCGCGCGCAAAGTGAGAAGGCTATATGAAGGCTTGAAATTATATTACGATCGATTTTGATCAAGAAATGGGCCAGGAATATTTCACAATAGTGCAAATAATCGTGAAAGCTGATCGCGGAAAAGCGATTGCATGACGCTCGGTAAGTTGTAAGATGACATGTTATCACATACCAGACCTGAAAAACTCTTTAGATTCTCAGTCTGCATTTTGTACCCACTCTGCAGTCTGCAGTCTGCAGTCTACATTTTGTACCTAGTCCAAATTTTGAATCCGGTCTGCAGTTTGCAGTCTGCATTTTGTACTAACAGGTATCCGTGGCGCCAATACAGTTTATTTTTGGCTACACTTATATTCGCGCAACACACACAATTTACCACAAAATACCTGTGTGTGAGTTAATTCGACATTTTCCTTTTTTTCCGCGTTAATACTCTTCTTTCCTTCTGTAAGAATGTAGACATCACTTACAATGTTTCAAGTAATCCACCCACTCCCAAAAAAATAACTCTTGCATGCATAGCATGCCTATGTTTCCATTTGGTTAACACTTGTTAAGAATTCAGATCCTTCATTCACCATAGGTAATGTTCGAAGTTATGAGTTCTATCTTAATTGTTTCTTTTCAGACCATCTCAGCATTGTCCTTGGAGTATTAGGAGGATTTCTTCTGCTAACATCAATCCTTGTTGTCTTGATATATGCTAAAAGGCGAACAGATGAACGAGAAGATGTTTGCAAAAAGTGGATCATAAACTATAAGGATATAACTCCATCGGATGATCACGACGATAACTACATGATGCACTGCAGCTTCAATCAGGTGAGTTATTTTCCTGCGTCTTACGAGGAAACTCAAGACCAGGTTTTAATTTTCTACTTTTTCAGATAAAATATGTTTTACCCTCAAGTTTCATTTTTATTTTAAATGGGTCTTGTGCTTAAGTGTCTATCCCCTTACATTTAGTAAAAGGCTACATTTTCCATAAAATATAAAACTGGGATCGTAGGATCGATCCATTGGCGGTGCTTGTTGGAATGAAGTAAAGTTATCAATTAAAACAAATTTCGCTCCGACGAAGGGCTAACGCTCGAAACGCAGCTTTAAAAACTCTTTACGGTGACCAATTTACTTTATCAACTCAGTTGATAAAAGCAAGTTATGTTGCAATACCACCCACCGACGCGGCAGCACCACAGTTTCTTGGGAAATGTACCCCCTTTGTTAATTTGAAATGCTTGGGTACAACATGGCCTGAGTTATTTAATGTCTGAACAGAACTTTATATAATCTGCTTTTACACTTGTTATTAATCGTTTCAGCTCAACTGTCAAGGATCAACAACAAGCATTCTCCCCGCGTCTTCTTCTGCCCTGGGACTTGTGAATGGTTGTCTATATCAACAAAGAAAGATTTCTAAAGGAATTTTTCGGGTAAGACGATGTTTATTAGCCAGATTACGTTCCCATTTCTCTTTGATTGACTGAACTTAAACGACAAGGACGAGACGCTTTTTTTTCACGATGACGACGACGACAGTGGCGACCATAATACCGGGGAAGACACCGAGGGAAAATGATAACCATGATGAACCATTTTCAATGAGGACTAGCAAGGAGCAGGCAAAGACAAGATATGACGTGCACGAAGAAGACTGATGAGGAGCGACGACAACAGACGATGAAAACGAGAGATAACGACTAAGACGAGAGCTGATACGGACTGAAAAACACGACAACGATCGTTAAGGACGGACAAGAACGCTGAAGATGAAAACAAAGATGAAAACGATGATGGTAGTAATGGTTTTCAGGATGAAAACGCTTCAGAAAATTTGCACTAGCTAATGTTTGTTACTACAGACACGAAGACTGTAGAGTTTACTTGATTATAGCTGTTGCATTTATTTTGGGGAAACTTTGGTCAAATTTAGTTCTGAATGGCCGCTGAACCCACTAGAAGCCTGAAGAGATAAGTTTTGCTAAGACTTGAGCTTATCAATTTTAAAGGGCAAGGTGGTGTTGATAAAGTTGGCTCGAGAAGGAACATCTCATCTCACGGAAAGTATGAAAGCAGAAATAAGACAGGTATGCAATCATACCATGTTGTGGTTTGTTCTTTTTACAGCAGTGCTGTGACTTACAAACAGATTCGACATCTCAAGAAATTCAACACATAACAAAAAAATATTTACTAAGTTGGGTGGTGAAAAATGACGGTGCATAACAACCGCTCTTACGGACAGGCGTGTAAACAAGAAACAACACGGAAACCAGTTTACCGAAAAATGGTCGGAAATTCTCGACGCGCGATTCTGTCTTTCCGGCCGTTCGGTGGTAAATATTACATGCTAGTCAGTTCCGAACAAACATTCACACGAAAATCACTATTCGTCTGTGTGGCTATAGTAAATAAATTTATCTCTCTCTCTATCTCTCTCTTCTGCGTAGGCTTGTGAGATTCGACATGTCAACCTTAATCCGTACGTAGGCCTGTGCGCTGAGTTCCCGGATGTTTATATCGTATCTGAATATTGTGCTAAAGGAAGCTTACAGGTGAAAAAGAGGCGGTTTATAATATGGATGTTATCCAAGATATTTACACATATGACTGTTTGATAGACAATCTGAAGGAAAACAGACTTGACATCACAGAGAACCTCCGTAATCAGAAAACACACACAGATATGAACCTTATGCTGAGTAAGGGGCCGAAAGTTTTGAGCAAATGAAGCACTTGAAACAGTGACGATTCTGAAACATAAAAAATCGAGAAAGGCTCAACAAGAAATTTAGAATAACTTTCGTAATCATAACTACACAACACTACTTTTGCGATGTAGCATTTATGATATATAAAATGCAGGAATTTATGCAATTAAGTTGATGACATACTGAAGTAACTCAAAAATAGGTTAACTTTAAGTACTAAAACACGAGCTCAATAAATAAATCAACTAGTTTATTTAAGATCTTTGTACATTATCCCTTTTAAGGACATTTTACGGAATGATGATTTTAAGCTGGACTGGACGTTCAGGATGTCATTTGCCCTAGACATTGCTCGGGTAAGTTTGTTTGTTTTGGTTTGTTTTTGTTTTTTGTTTTTGAGAATATGAAAATAATATTCTGATGTTGGATCCCGTTTCATGTTGAAGAATTCACACTTCGAAGAGACTTTAGTTTAGAGAAATACTCAGTTTCAATTCCCTCTCAGGATAACTCAAATAGCAAACTCTGCATTGCTCACTGAAGAAGTTCGTTAACTGGTTCATAGCCTCGCTTGAGGGCCACTATGAAGGGACGGATGACGAGTTAGGCTGTTATATCATACGCGAGTGATATGTGGCAATCGTTCCTCGTTGCTGTGAGGAAAAGAAACGGTGGCTACTACCTCCTTGTCAAATTCACTCATTGCTATATGGATTTGGTATGAAAATAGGGTTTGATGTTTTGAGTCAGGTTTTGAATGGGCTAGGAATATTGCACATTTTGGAAGTATCCCTCACAGTAGATGCAAATCATCCTAGTTAATGTCTTGTCGCATGTGTAACCCGCGGTATGCATTAGTCTCACAACCAGAGCCAGACCACAAGTGTAGACCCAAGTCCAAAAGTTGGGTCAGTATCATGTCAAAAGGCTTTTAATGGTATAGAGTGATAACCTGCGTCTGTCCCCCAAGAAATTGTTTGTGTCCGAAAGAAACTAGCATTTTTATCGTTTTCAAAAATTAACAGGGAATGGAAGAATTACACAAGACGTCGATAGGCTGCCATAGTAACTTAAAGTCCACTAACGTATTGGTTGACAGCTACTGGATTTGTAAGGTGGCTGACTACGGTCTACAAAGCTTTCAAGAAAACAGATTGCACACAGAGGAGACCTTACGAGCACAAACTGGTAATAACAATTAAAACAAACACAGATCAGTAACTGTACAGCTTGATCAGGTAAAAACTAGAATTAATTTATTCCTTTCAGAGTAACATATTCAACAATTTTTTTTTTACTTGGAGCGCTTTTTGGTTGGTAGTAAAACCAGAACCTTGCCTTCTCCCCGCCCCTAGCTCCCTTAAAGAAATCACAAAAACAAATCAGAGGAAAGAAAAGAAAAAACAGATTTATTTCGACACTCTCTTGAAAATCGCTTGGTAGTATGGTGACAGTTTTACTTCTCCGCGGGCTTAGTACACCTGCTGATTGCAGCCGCTCTTATCAGCTGATTTTAAGCATCTTCTATCACATTACACGATAAACTCCGACATTTGTATGCAATTCTTAAGAATCGTTTGTTTTGCACAGCTCTTTTTTGGACTGCACCGGAGCGTCTGCGCACAAACACTAGCAATACATCACCAGGGGACGTGTACAGTTATGGCATCATTTTGCAGGAAATTGCACTCAGAGAGAAACCATTTTCCACATCTCTTCTTAGCCCAAAGGGTCAGTATGTTGGGAAACGAAAGTACTTCTTCTCCTATATCGTCATGTCTTGTTTCCTTAAAATTTCCAATCCAATTTGTCTTCTCTAAATGATCCTCACGGTGCTTTCTTTTTTCTCCACTGCTTTTCAAAATAGAAATTTTATACTACGTACGGAAGGGCATCACGCCACATTGTCGGCCTCAAGTCCCTCCAGACAGCGCTCCGGCTTCGTACATGGACCTTATGAAAATGTGCTGGGATGAGCGGCCTGAAAGAAGACCCACTTTTTGTGGTGTCCTTAAAATTCTTAAGAGAATCAACAATGGAAAGTGAGTTTTTTAAATTGATATTCTTCCATTTTCTATAACATTGGACACGTTTCCAAGAGAGCGTTGTCTGTTTAAGCAATAGATTCCGTTTTGCCATGCTTCTGTTCAGTAATAGACCACAGTTGACGGGAAAATGTGGTCAATAAAAACAAAAAAAGTGGCACACGAGGCGGCTTAGCTAACGAAGGAACTAGTTCATCCAGTGGATAAGTAACAGCAAAAAGAATGGCGTTATCCACCGGATAGAGATTTATCCAGTGTATAGCGTTATCCGATCTTCGAACAACCGGGGCCAGGTTGATAAGTATATTTATTTTCTCTTTTTCCGTTGCTCTCCATAATTGCAAGGACAACCAGCGTCGTTGACAATATGTTGTCCATGATGGAAAAGTACACAAACAACTTGGAGGCCATTGTAAATGAACGGACGAAACAACTACAGAGTGAGAAAACCAAAACAGACGAGCTTCTTCACAAGATGCTTCCGAGGTATAATGATAAATAGGTTTATACGTATAATTGAATGAGAGAAAGACAAAATGGCGATCTTACCTTAACAAGATACTCTTCTTGGAAGGCGAGAAAGCTCCATCACCCGTCAAGTAAACTCTTTTCTTTCAGTCGAAACCGCCTTTTTTTAACTGAAGAATCCACGAAATACTACTTTCAAAGATAACAATTTGTGTCCTCAACTACCCTTCAAGTGGTGCAAGTCCGACCACAAGCACCCTTTGAAGGGGTAGTACTTTGTTGTGTGAAACGCAGTTTAAAGTACCTTCACTTACTGAACAAAGTACAATTCCCTGTCCTCTTTCGTCTAACTCAGGAGCATTGCAGATCATCTCAAAGCAGGAATTGAAGTGAAAGCTGAACATTACGATAGCGTCACCGTATTTTACAGTGATATTGTCGAGTTCTCGAACATAACGTCGCACAGCTCCCCAATACAGGTTTGTATTCAATCAGTTACTTTTGTATCTTCCTTTTTCTTTAATCAAATCTTATATATCGGCTCAGAATCTATTAGCTAACTTTTGCAAGCTGTCTGTTTTCTAGAGTAACTTAGCAAGTTTGCAACTTTTCTCTGCAAATCCGTGCATGGGATATTTTCTTCAGTAATTTGACGTACTTTTGAGACCGTAGAAACTTCAATTTTGTAGTCAGTTGTAAACTGTAGTGTGTAGCTTTTTATTTAGGCTTTAGATGAATTTTTCCTTGTTTACATAACCCCATCTTAACACGAGGGAGATGCGAGAATTCGAGAAAGCTATGCATACCAGAGGCGCAATCAAGGGTATGCGTAGTTTTCACATAACTTTCTCACTTGTTTGTGTTTCGAACCTCGGAAGTTGAGACCCCACCTGTGCCCTATCCGAGATAGTGACACAAAAGACCTTAGAATAAACAAACTGAAGTAGAAAATACTTAAAAGTAGAGAGAATCTCCGATATTAGAAAACGCAAAAAAAAAATAAACCTTAAGCTGATAAGAGGTCCAAAAGTTTTGAGCAAATAAAACATTTGAAAAGCTGACGATAATGATAGAAACCTGACCATCGAGAACTGGCTTAAAGAACCTGAAATAAAAACATAAAATGGACGGAGTACTTTCCTTCAACACAGCCCATTGGCTTGGTTTTCCAGCTACCTAAATGAAAAACTTTCCCAAATAAAGAAACTGATGTAAGATTTATGGATACCATCGATGCGTCACGATTGAATTTCGCGAAAGCAGTCCAAAACAACTACAAGCATCAACTAGAACAGAAGAAATTTCAAGAGGAAGCCGTTAAGAATTCATAGCAAAATCTAAAAAACTTCTCAGAAAAAGAGAGAACACACGCGGCCAAGTTATGCACCTGCTGCTAGGTGAGAGGGTTATGCGAGTTTTCCAGCATGGCCTTTGCAGAGCGAAATAAAATAAATGCAATGCTGGATTGCTCAAGACCCTCAATTCAAATTTTCTCCAAACGACACCAATTTTCTGACGGCCGAGATACGGGCTGAAGGAGGATCGTCGCTTAGGGCTGTCATATTAAGAAATCGTCATAAGATACTTGGTTAGTGGTGACGGGAGGAACGCCAACAGCATGTCCCTGTTGCCCAAATGAGATCGGTGATTTGATTGACTTTTTCTTGCAGGTAATAACTCTTCTTAACGACCTGCACTCTCTTTATGACACAGTGATGACACGATACGATGTTTACAAGGTAACGTTAAATTCGATTAGTACAGCTCTAAAGAATTAAGGATCGGATAAAATTGCTCAAAGCCGTTTCTGTCTAGACGTCCCGGTCGCTCCTGTTGTCTGTCTGTTTGTCTGTCTGTGTGTCTATCGACTGTCTGACGGACCGTCTGTCTGTCTGTCTGTTAGTGTATATAACCTCCCGCTCTCCAGCTGATTACGTGCATGGTCTCCTCTCTCATTTGCAGTTATGCTTATTTACACAGGTAGAGACAAGCAGCGACTCGTGTATGGTTGTGTCTGGGCTTCCAGAGAGGAATGGAAATAAACATGCTGGTGAAATAGCTAGTATGGCATTACGCCTTGTTGCATACCTTAAGACCTTCAAGATCAGTCATATGCAAGGCACAACGCTACAATTTAGAATTGGAATTCATACTGGTAGGTATATAATGAAACAAGAATAAATAATGTTTTCCAATCTATTTATGAAAGAAACTGGCGGTAGGTTGAATAAGTAAAATTCTTAGCCCCTCACGAGAAATCATCATTATCATCATTTTCATGGTCATCTTTTATATTACTGTAATCATTATTATTTATATTATTATAATCATTATTGCAGTGAATGCCTTCTTAGGAAAAGTTCTTCATCATTCCTTACCAGCTCTCTATCTGTGTTCCTTTCCAGGCCCTTGTGTTGCAGGAGTTGTGGGTCTTAAGAAGCCTCGTTTCGACATATTTGGCGAATCAGTTGACATCACAAGACAGATGGAGGAAACTGGAACTGGTATCGTTATGTCAATTATTTCTGTCCTTCATAATAATACGTGTGATTTACCGTTAAAACGTTGAAAGAAACCTTTGAAGCTTTCGTAAGGGTGCTCGATTTAACGTTGTAAGGTACCAATTTTGAGCAAGAATGTCCCTATCTCTGCAGCTCAAAGAATTCACGTTAGTTCCATGTGCAAGTCTGTCCTGGATGAGTTGGGTGGTTTTAGCGTGGAAGAGAGGGGCCTTATTAACATCAAGGTTAGTGTCAGAATACTTTTTTAAGACGCTCTCAAGACAACGGTAGGTGCCTCATGCTTTATCAATAAGTTATTCACTTGATTGGTTATTTTAATGACCGTTTATTTACTAATTGACTAGCAGACTGGCTGGCTGGCTGGTTCTGAACGTGACTGACTGACTGACTGAAATGACTAACTGGTTGACTGTTGACTGACTAACTTACAGCCTGGCTGGCTAATGGACTGACAGACGTGGGCATTCGATGGGCACGAAAAGTATGCAGTGCCACAATGAATAAGTAATTTTCTGGTCTTAAATTAATCGATATGTAAATGAAAAAAGATCACATGCAGCAGCTTTTCCCGTGCTTCTCACTGGCTAAAATGTCAAGTTAAAGCGACGGTAAATTTGTTGGAACGTTAGAGGAATGGGAAGGGGGGAATTAGCTGGAGTAACCTAGCCTCGTAACCAGTCTTTCCATGGCCAAGTGGTTGGAGAGTAACAGTTACACGGTAGGATCTGGGCACGAGATGGGGAGTAACCCCCACAATTTGGAAGGCAAAGAGAGTCTTGAACAACAAAAGCTTTGTTAGTGTACCATTCCCTTGCTGCTACAACGTCTACAGAATTTAGTTCAACGCGTTTGGAATATGATGCTAGTTTTCAATAAAACACCACTGCTCATTGACAAAGAATGAACAATCCTCTCCTGTAATCCTCTCCAATTACTATTATGAGCTCTGAAGCTGCTATCGTTGACATTTGCGATATAATTATCAGCTCAAAAATCGCTCGATAGTCGCTTTCAAGATAATTTTGTGCTGGACGCGGGACAAACATGGGTAGGTTCGTTATCATGACTCCGACTGTTTCATCGCAGCAGACTGAAGAGAGTTCGCACCCTCCTTTAAATGTAACTGCGAAGATAAGACAAGAAATTGTCCCGAATTAAGTTGGCTTTCATATGGACGGTGGTATGTTGTTTTGTCTTAACGTAAAATGCTGGTCGATCATCTCCGAAATTTTGTGCTGGATAAGCATAATAAAATAATTAAAAAACATATTTTTTGAGGAAATAGATCATATTTTTAGATCACTTTGATTAACGCCTTTTGCAACAAAAAATTGTTTCCTTCTCTGGGAATCCAATAGACAATGATCATCGACGAGAGAAAAATAACGTCTAAGTAGTTTTCTGCAATGAAGGACATCTCTTGCCGCATAATATGCCGGGAAAATACTGCACTGATAATTTCGCTTTTTTCCTTGCCCTATCAGAAATTCTGGCTAGAATTTATAAAAATTAACAGAGCACTTTCAGCCAATTAAAGCAGGTTACTATGAAAAAGCTCTTGCGCTTCAAAAGCAATATGCTCACTTACTGAAATGGCAAATTGTGTTAAAGTTTCATTGAATAAATAATGAGATTTAGCAACTTGAAACTACTACCTTTGGAAGCATCTGGTCCCGACACCATCATGAAATAAAATTCACGTTTGTTTTCGTAGTTTCGATATCTATACAAAGGAAGGTGGGAGGGAGTATATTTCGAGCAAATATTATTAGAGACCGTAGAGAGCTGTAAGATCTTTACGGTCTCAATTGAGCGGCTCTCCGTTAAATTTCTTCATACAGATTCGAAACCCGAAACCTTTGCGTCAAGAAGGCATCGAAAAAAGTGGTTATATGCCGGCTAAATATTCACCTTTAAAAACTTAATAAGGAATACTTTATCTAGGTCTGAGTATAATTAAAACCATGTCGGTTTTCATTACGTGAGATGGTAAGTTGGCAAAAATAGAAAATTACCAAACTACGGCGAAAGTTTGTGTGAAAATTGTTATTCTGTAAATGCGCTGCGGGTGGTATTACGTGCGTAGACATATTGACATACGTTATTGCACCCAATTAAAGCAGAGTCTTTGCGAAGTCTCTCGTGCAGGTGACATGTCTCAAAAATGACCAAGGAAGTGAAAGTGACCATGCTCTTGAAAAAATTTCGTCTGCACTTTCGCACGAGGTAATTTGATGCAACGACACACCAGTAAGGTGTGCATGATTATTCGTACCAGCAGTCTACTCTCACGAGGAGTATAATTATATCAATAACTGAGCTATTTCAAAATGTGATGAGAACAAAAAAGTGGCATAGAGGCACAGCCAGACGTGTCACTGTTGTTCTTACGGCATTTTGACGTCTCATGTGATCTTATGAAGAGTATATAGACAAACGGCAACATGGAATCTATTTGTTTTATATTTTACATCAAAACAAGTAAGAAACTGTCAAAATGCGTGCGTAATGCAGCCTATTATCTCAGATTATTTACCTTATAACAGGTGTCTTAAAGGAAGTAGATTCAGATCACGCATCTCAAAGTATATAAATAAGGAGGTTCTCGCCTTAAATAAAGTTATGAGAGCTGTTAGCCGACTAAGATAATGTCGACAAAACTTAACTCAACTTTGAATGGAACACAGGCATCACTGACATGGTCGACTCTGAGCTGCGGTTTCAATCCCACGGCAGAAAAGATTGGTAAAACCTTTGCCTACTGTCTGATATTTTTAGTTTCTTTGGTCGGAAATTCCTTGATTGGAATAGTTGTCTACAAGACAAAAACCCTGAGAAGGCCCATAAACTTTTTAATTGTTAACATGGCCTTGTCCGATCTGTTGTTTCCTATTTTCCTGTTTCCTCGGGATTTAGTTCGGCTATACGCAGGCTCCTGGTTGGTCAGCGGTCCTCTTGGGCAAACTTTGTGTAAACTGCGACCTTTTGTATTGGAAATTTTGACTTCCGTTTCAATTCAAAGCCTGGTTCTGATAGCAGTAGATCGATTTGGAGCTGTTCTATTTCCCTTCCGTTCCCCGCCCATCAGGGCAAAGCGATGCCGGTTCCTTATTCTCTGTATGTGGATCATCGCCGTGGCAGCCTGGTGCCCAGACCTATTCGCTTATAAACTCGTAGAGTCTCCCAGTGGGCTGGCTTGTAAACTGCGGTGGAAAGACACATTTGGAAAATCGTCGTCTTCCCAAAACCACGATGCAGCAATGATCGCTGTTTTCTGGTACGTTCCGTTGGTCCTCATCGCCATACTGTACTTTGCAATTGTCATAAAGATCAAGTCCCAGAAGATTCCGGGCGTGCAATTGGAGAACGCAAGAGAAAAACGTTTGAGGAGAGAGAGAGGTGTTCTGAAGTTATCCATTGCCATCGTGACAACGTTTGCAGTATGCTGGCTGCCACTCAGTATCTACGTATTGCTGATTCTTTATTCATCTGACGGTCTCAATATCATGTCAACCTGTGCTTTCCGATATTTCGCAACTGTAGCTTTTTTTCTAGCTCGCTCTTATTGTGGTATAAACCCGTGTGTTTGTTTCATTTTCAGTCAAAATTATCGTCAAGGTCTCAAGAATCTCTTCGGCCACTTCAGGGTTAATAAAAACGTATCGTAATTGCGCTCCGGCCTGTTCTATGTTGTTTTATAATTGATTTTCAGATTAGAACTCATTTAGAATCTGAGAGCTAGATTGAAATGAGATCCTTTCTTAGAATCATCAAAACGAATTTTGTTCAAATGATCGTTCGCAGGCTGTTTGTGACAACAAATAGTTGTAAATAAAGACCTGACCAAGCAGTGGTTCAAGGCGAAACTGAGATCTAAATTGTAAACAATATCCATTTCAAACCTACTTTGTCAAACACCTTGATTATAGCAGTCATTAAGAGCACGGATAAAGTTTCAATCATTATGGGGTTTCTTTAGAAACTTTGTACATCAACGTATACCTTTTCTGGACTGTGGCTGAACTATCATCTACTGTATAAATTTCTGGTTCATGTATTTTGTAGATTCTTCTTGGGAGCTTACAGAAGAAGTAATAGAAAAGAAAGTTTAGAAACACTAAAAGAAACTTTTTGCCTCCGTGGTTCTTGAGTCGTTATGCAATAGAAATAACTCGGGGTGGGGGGGGGGGCGTTATTCTGACATACCGCTTTCATTAGAGATCAAACATTTTACAGATCCACTCATTCCTTGTATATTAAGAAAGAATATTAAAAAGTTGGACTAAAAAAAAAGAGAGAAATGAATGGATAAAAGCAGACCATACAAAGTGGGGGAATATTGGTACAGGAATTAGGGTAAATTCTGTACCATGTTAAGAATAGCACTCAAGAACCAGAAAAAGAACTGCTTAAAGACTCTTACCTACTCAACCCTAAAAGAGCACTTATTTTCTCGCCACAATTTCTAGACGAGGGAGGAAATAAGAAAGTTCCATACCATATTAAATAGGGTAGTCAAGACCCAGAAAGAACCTGCTCAAAGGCCTGTACTTGCTCAAGGCCAAAACAGTACTTTTTCCCCCTTCACGGCCTCTAGACGAGAGAGGAGGTGTAAGTTAGGTGGGTTAATAATATTTGTTAACTGGTAACGAGCACTGAATTTTTCTTCTGGTCGAAGGTGGCTAACCTTGGGTGCTTTATGCAATTTAAATCTGGCTTTCAATCTCTTTCTACTTCCTTTTTGAAAAGTAACTTACCCAATTAGTTTATTTTGCCTGAGATTTTACGTAGTGGTTTTTGTTTAGGAAGTAGGGAGAGGATATTATTTGGTTTAGAAAGTGACTAACCCCCTGTATGGCTTACTGATTGACCAAGTGACGGATAGAATAACTTATAGACTGACTGACTGATTAATGAATAAAGGGGTAAGTTTCTAAAGAAACTGTGGTGCTGCGTCGGTGGGAGAGTATAGCAGGTAATTTAATGTTAACAACTGGGTTGAAAACGTAAATTAGCCACCGTAAAGGGTAAAAAAGCTGACGTTTCGAGCGTTAGCCCTTCGTCTGACGAAGGGCTAACGCTCGAAACGTCAGCTTTTTTACCCTTTACGGTGGCTAATTTACGTTTTCAACCCAGTTGTTAACATTAAATTACCTGACTGACTGATTAGCTGACTTGCTGACTGACTAACTGACTCGCTTACTATTTAAATATGTTTCTGAGTTACTTACTAAACAACTAACTGGCCGGCTGCCTGACTAACTGATTGCCTACTGATTGACTAACTGATGGATTGACAGACGGATTGCTTACTGATTGACAGAGCAATTTACTTACTGGTTGACTGACTGACTGGCTGACAGACCAACTGACCTACCAGTTGACTGACCGACTGGCGGGCTGTTAGGCTAACTGACTTACCAGTTGAATGACTGCTGGCTGACAGACTAACTGACTTACTAGTTGAATGACTGACCGACAGACTGACTGACCGGCTGACAGACTTACTGACTTACTAGTTGACTGACTGACTGACTGGTTGACAGACCAACTGACTTACTGTTTGACTGACCGAATGGCGGACTGACAAACTAACTGACCTACTAGTCGGCTGACTGACTGACTGACTAACTGACTGGCTGACAGACTAACTGACTTACTAGTAGAACGACTGGCTGGTTGACAGACTAACTAACTTACTAGTTGAACGACTGACTGACTGACTTGCGGACAGACTGACTGACTTGCTAGTTGCTTGACTGACTTACAGACCAACTGACTTACTAGTTGACTGACTGATCTGCATGACTGGTGGGCTGACAGATTAACTGACTTACTAGTTGACTGACTGACTGACTGACTGACTGGCTGACAGACTAACTGACTTACTAGTTGACTGACTGACCGACTGACTTACTGGTTGACAGACCAACTTACGTACTGGTTGACTAACAGACTGGCGGGTTGACAGACAACTGACTTACGAACCGACTAAGTGAATGACCATTAGCAGCAAACCTGTTGACCTACCAAGCCCCATTTTTGCACCAGTTTACCATTTCTTGTGTTGTTTGTTTTCTGTTGTTTCTTCGATTTTAGTGATTTTTATGGAGGATTATGACCATTTTTCGCCTTAACTTTGTCTTATTTTTGCGATAGGGACTCGGTGAAACGATGACATACTATCTGACGGGAAAAGTTGTCGAAGTCGCCAGGACGCCCAGTCTACAGTAATATATATAATCTTTAACCTCTTCATTGCTAACTCGGAAAGTTCAATAACATTTTTCAACTTGAAAGCAAGTTGAACATTCGAAGGGAAATTCCATATCTACGCTCGCCCATGTATGATTCTCTGTTCAATTTGGTTGGTTTAGCAAGAAGTGCTCGCGTTTTTGGGTGGATGCTTAAATTGTTGTACAAATCTTTACTACTTCAAGATTAGCATATTTTAAATAAGATTTCTGGTTTCATCAGTTGACCTTAGACCGGGTTCTTAACACTGATGCTGAAAGTTTAGTGGGACGCTTGTCTTCAAACAAGCGAGAAACGCCGGAAATAAATTAAACCATTCTTTTCAAATATCTCGTAGTCTATCTGAGATTATTGTCCACAAAAAAAAAAATACAATTATGTCACTTCCAAATTAACACTTATACGTTGTCGCTTGTAAGGGAAGGAATTCTTGTAATAAAAATGCAGGAAAGGATCATAATTTGTAATAGAACTAAACAAATATATTCGCATCAACGTTACAGCTGAGAACAGAATACTCGATCCACAAAGGTAGTGCTTTAGAATAGATTATAAAAGTAGAAAATTGTTCCTACTTTTCGAAGCTAGTTTTCTTCTCTGGAAGCGGCGGTGAGAAAGCCAAAAGTAAAAAAAAAAAAAAAAAGCAAACAAACAACGAAAATATACGACAACACGGCCGCGAACAAATTACAACGAAAGACTCGAAAACTACAGCCGGGACAAATACATCATCATGGTGGGAAGGGGTGGGATTTTGATAGACTGATAGGTGTAACCATGGTAACTAACCTCCTTGAGATTCTTAAAGTCTCCCTCGCCTCAGGCTCTCTGTATAATAAATTTTGAATAAGTCCTTCTAGGAATAGAAGTGACAACTCGAACGGCCCGATAAATAGGAAGCGACCTGTCACCCTCATCTGATGCCGTTCAGTTAGCCATAAGTTAAGAGCTCCAACAGTTTGGGTACCGCAATCACTAAGTAACGCCTCAACCGAAAGACTCTCTAAGAGAACCCTTTCACAAAAATTGGCGGCCTTTACTTGGAATTCATGGTACATGAGCCTCACATGGGCAACACCACCGTGAAGTACCATCGTCGCCCGTGATATATTTGGAATTTTATATTGATCGGGGCGTTCGGAGCGAATTTACAGCGCCTTTTTTCTAATGGATTCGTTTGGTATGCGTCAGTCAGTGACCTACTTTAGGAAAGGATTATGCGTAGAGGGCAAAGTAGATGAACTTAAACCGAGCTAAACGGCCGTAAATCAGTCCAGAAAATCACGCGATCCAAAGGAACAACCACTTAAGCGAGGTAAGGTTGCTTAAATTTAAACCTAATTCAGATTTTCAGGTTGAGAGTGAGACCGTCTTTTCTCATAAAAATCCTTATACTTCGCCCATTGCGCATTATAAACATATATCCATCTTTGCAAAGGTGCATTGTGCAAGCTTGGGCTATTTGTGCTGAGACACCTTGTCACAAAATTTTTTTCTCTGTAAGAGGTGAAGTTTAAGATTTGAACCTCCAATCAAAACAAGTCAGTCTCGTGACGTCAGTTTCCTTTCTTTCTCTCTCCAATTGAACCATGTGAACAAGTTTTGTCCGCGTCTGGTCGAAAAAAGGGAAGAGACTTGAGATTTCCTAAATAGCGATGGTGATTAACCCTTAATTCCCATTTTGTTTTGGCGAGACATGGTACAAACGATTGTTTCCTTCATAAGTGGAGAAGATTTATAAAGTGTGTTAAGTCGCTGAGCTGTTCTGTTCCTCAACTGAGAGAGGCTTCTTCTCCATCGTAAAGTGAAACTAAGTGAAAATAGCAAAGGTGAGCTGTATCATTTGACGCGACCGACATCGTATTAGTTCGCAGTAACCTCCTTCATGTTAAAACTGTCGATCGATCTCGATCGTCGATTCTCTCTGATCGATAGTAGTGTACCGCGCGATGTATTTTTTTTTATGATTAGATAGAATATCTGCGAAAGCGGCAAAGTCCTGATAGCGCTGTCCGTCGATACGGTCGAAACAACAACTTCCTGTATGCTTTTTTAGTTTTAGCTTTAGACCCTGAGTATTTCTTGAAATCTTGAGCTTTTTCTCTTGCGAACAAGGATGGCGATGCAAAACGATTGCAACTCCATTTTGGCGTTATCATCAAACCACATCAGATGTTCCTCCGAAGGTGTTAAAAGTTATCAGTCGTGCCATATAAATATTACTCTTTCAGATCTCACTTTGCTTATTCTCGTTTACTAGTTATTTTGTGTCTTCCTTTATGGTCGGTATTCTTTATTGAATCGATCACCACTGGTCACTGCAGGTATTTTGAATCATACAATCTCACTATACGAAGTTAAACATCGAAGTAAATATTCAGGAAATGATCGGAATTTTATTCAGAGAAAGGTTACTCTGCTAAAATAAGGCGAGCCACATTGTGACTTAAACTGAAGGCCAGGACTATTCCAAAGCTGGGAATCCACTTGTATTTATTTGATCTGGTCATGCATAATTTTTAAAGGCTGGGTTTGTGCAAGCGATGGCGATGGAGTTGACGCTTGCAAGGTTTATTGAAGAGTGTGGCGTTACCGCAGGATTTCCGTATGTCAAAAAAAAGAATGTGACATAAAATTTACGTCCAAGTGCGTTTAAGCGCTCTAGAATATGTACTAATTTAATTAAGGTTCTATATTTGTTTTGAAAGAAAGTATTTGCAAGCATAAAGGGCAAAAAGATTCATACGATTACTATCATATAAAACTTATTCAAACGTTATAGCCTCTTACTGTCTCAATACTGCTCTTCCCTCTTCGTTTCCTCGCTGATTAGACTTTACAAAATAAGTTCAAACACCTTTTTGGATACTCCTACCCCGGGGCCCCTTTTTGACAAAGATTCCCCCTAAAAATTTAAGGAAGAAATTGGGCCGGTGGACAAGTGGAGTAAGTCCTTTCTGAGTTGTAGTCGAAGGTGTAAGAACACCCCCCTTCAGTGAAATTAAAGAATTGACGTCCTTCATGATCGTAGTCATTAGTTCAACAGAATTAGAAGTAATAGAATCATAATGGGATTTTATGACCCTCAGAGTTACGATCACCGCTGAAAAGTGACGCATGAGAGGCGACAGGAGAATTCCGCTACTAAATGCGTCGGTTCGATTTTCACTGAAATGCATTGCTCTGTACTTCTGATAATAATTGTGACTCATGCTGCAACTTAAGTGAAAACCAACCTCTATTGCTGTTATTCCCAGGGAATAACAAATGGGCAATTTCGATTTCGTTTCCCACACGACCTAAGAAAATTCACGCTTTGCGTTTACTTTAAACAGTATTTCACGCGTCACGAATTATTAAGGGAACATTTAAGCCTCGCCCTTCTTTAATATATGCGTAACGAATTATTTTCAAGGGTAATCATAACCATTACAATTTACTCAAATGCGATTGGTGCATTAGCTGCTTTATTTTTTTTACTAATTATTCTGTAGAGTTGGCTGTAATCGGATACCCGTAATCGGACAGATCAGTAATGGTAATAGGACCGAATGGAGTCCAATTCGGTCTGTAATTATACGAGTAATTAACAAAAATTGGACGACCGCAAAGCCGAATCACGAGTATGATTACAGACAGAATTGGACGACACCAAGTCCCGTTACCAATTAATCATAACCATTTCAATTACTCGTATGATTCCAGAACCAATTAGACTCTTTTTGGTCATATTTCCATTTTAAAATTTTTTTAAATCATTCCAGGAATTTGAGGCGACAATTATAAAGCGGCAAATATGAAGCGACAACTTGTGATCCTTACCGGCTCCCATTCAGTTGATTCAGAAGATCGTCTGAACTTGACCAGCTGGGTGCTTGATCACAGACATGTTTTTCTCGGTAAACAGATAAAGGTAAAGTTTTCGCGCTCCAATCAAAGACAGTCAGTCTCGTGACGTCATTTTCATCTCGTCCTCCCTCCAATGGGACCCTGGGATAGTCTACAGCTGGTTTGAAAGGAGTTTGTGATTTAGCCTAAAACCAGCTATGTACCGTGAATTCCCCTTCTTTAGCGGAAAATCGTATGAACGGTTGTTTTCATCATAAGTGGAGAAGATTTTTAAAGAGTTTTGAGTCGCAAGTCCTCAATTTAGAGAGACTTCCCCTCTTTCCTGCACTGAATGCCAGCACGCACAGTTGAGGTAAGCTGTCTCATGTTGCGCACATCGCTGAATTATGTTTTTCTTGTGGCTGTAAATGTTTAGTTCGCCGTCATCAACCGATGGCGAGAAACACAGACTGTTCCTGCTGAAACTATCGATCCCAACGCTTCTTTGTTCGAATACAGTGTACCGTACGGCGTGGTTTGGACAAGCTTTCGGAGTGGTTATACACAGAACGAGTGAGCCAATACTTAACGAAAGCGGCAAAGATCCCCCAAAAAATTCCTCTTTTCTAAGCTTATAAATTCAAAAGGAACGAGACTCAGCGCTAGCCATGGATGTGGTCTAAAAAAAAACTGCCCATATGCTCCTTTAGGCGTGAGTATCAGAGAAAACCGTGATCTTAGCACATAAGGAGACAAACACAAGACGATTGCTTGTACTCTACTATGGCGTCATTAGTACCCCGGGTGTCTTTACGAAGAGGTTAAAAGTTAGCGGTCGTGTCATATTACTCATTCAAATCTTAGTATGCTCATTCTTGTTTACCAGTGACCTTCCTAGTGTCTTCATTTGTGGTCGGTAATCTTTCTTAAATCGATCACCACTGTCGGCATCTTGAAATCGAACCATCTCAGGTGTACGTAGTTAATTCAAACGAAGCGATGCGCACTATTACTGAAAATGGATTTGTCACTAGAAACCCCGCGAACATACTCAGAAAAGCATTTACATCCGCCATTATTGATTATTGCATTAGTGTTGTAATAAAAAGGCAGAGAACCCGGCGAAATTGGGTAGGTAGCCATCAGAGAACGAGAAATGTTGATCAAACGTTGGTGTTGAGGTGAGGTAAGACTCGAGATACCCCGAGAAGTGGCTGATATCTCTCAAAGAATTATAACCATCCAGTAAGAAAGTCTTCTTACTGTCCTAAAAACTGATTATGGTTAGAGGAATCAAAACAGGGTTTTTTGTAACAAATCTGAGCCTTGTTATCCATGGAGGAAGAAAAAAACTAACCAATCATAGTGCCAATTCTCAGGCCATTTGATAGCTATGACTCCATACAGACAATAAACCTTGTGGTTACTCCGGTTCTGTTTTCTCCACTTTGATTTTCACTGAATCTCATGGGGCAGTGCCTCTGATGATGATTCCTTCTACAACTTGAGTGAAAATCAATATTTCCCAGTGTGCAATATAAATTATTCCTATAATATTAAGGTAATATGAATATTTTATTGAATATGAATTATTAGTGTGAATTATTCCTATAAAAAGGAAACTAGACATAGTGTATGAGACAAATTTTGCTGGAAATTTTCCCTCATATTGAAATAAATCAGCTTAAACTTCAATAACAATTAATTGAAGTGTAGTCAGTTGCTATTATTTTATTAATGTTTTGAATGTGACATCATAGACCAGCCAATTGCACCTTCCCAAGGGCAATTTCAGAAGACATCTGTTTTCCTGTAGATCTTGAGACTCAAATAATAATATGCTTAATATGCTTTTTGTTTTCTCATAGATATCAATGGCCATGAGAAAGAGTGATTTTGTCAAAAGAAAACGCAGTCCACAGGTGATTTTTAATTTAAATTCTACAACATTCATATGTTATATTTAATTATAACTGGTAAAGAATTGTAATGCACTTTAATATAAGCACTAAAAACTGGGGACCAACAGTCATGCCTGTACTTGTAAATAAGAAACTAACCCTTAAGTTGTTGCTGGATTAGCCATAGTAGTTAACTATTAACAGCTGTAAAACTCACACAGGCAGATATTGGAAACTTTTCCTGCAAATACAGCCAAAAATGGTGAATTGGTAATATCATAATCAATCAAGTTTTAGAGTTTACTTGATGGTCTTTGATATCAATTCTTTTGATCAATGTTTTTGCATTTTTTTTTTTGTAAGCAGAAGGATGCAGATGGCTCCAGCAGTAGTAGTAATGATGAGGAGGAATTGAAGGCTGCATTTTCAAGACCAAAGAGTTCCCCAAAAGGGAAGAAGTTCAGGGAAAGAACCAGTCCCTGTACATCTGACTCTGATGAAAAGGTTGTCATGGGTGAATCTTCTGATAAGAACTCCAGCTTCGGAAAAGATCATGGTAATATGCAAGCAGCTACAAGTAAGGTAATTGTGTAAGAGTGGTATTTGATATTATTGTCATCATGCTTGACCAAATAACAGTTGGTGTCAACTTGATACAAGGCATACTGGCCAGCAATAGTTCTGTAATTACACGTAGCTGTTCAAAGCAGTGTCATCATCTTGCTGGAGGTGTATGTTTAGAATTTACAGCCACCCTGTAACTCCCAGATATGATTAACATTATAAAGTAAACAGGTCACAAGAATACTCATACTTATCAGGTAGAAGTAACTGATCTACATGTTACTCCAAATTCTTATGAAGTATCTTGAGCATGAACACAACACAATGACCCTGCCAGGTAGTGAATTTAGATTTTTTTGACTTGGAGTTGGGAATGCTAAATTTTAGGCCACAGCATTGGCAATAGGAAAAAAGTGATCTTTACTTGTGATATCTCTTCACAGGTTGAGGTTCAGCCATCATCTTTTAAGGATGGTGATGCAGAACCACTGAATTCAAAGCAACAGGAAGAGCAAGCTGAGAATATACTGAAGACAGAGAAGTCCTGCTCTGGTGTGTTTTATTCTTTATTATTAAGATGTGTAAAAAATGATAATTTACCCCTTTACAGCCTAACACTTACAAGTATTTTTATTCACCATGTACTGTTCTCTTCTTTCTATAAATTGGTGATCATTTCCTGTAGTCTCATGCTGGAAATTAGATGCTAGTCATTTCTAGGGTTAAAGGGTTACTGATAATTTTGAAGTCAAAATATTTTCAGAACCTTGTGGGTTGCTGATAACACAGTCTTATTCAATTTATTTATTTCTTTACTCTCAGATAAGCAACTAGTGACATCAATTGAAAATAAGATGAACATTTTAAACGCAAAAAAAGGTATTGAATAATTTTATATCTACATTTGTGGTATTAAAATTGTAATTACCTAGTATAACTATCACTGATTGAAAGCACTGTGGTCAGGAGATGAATGATATGGTTTCATTATTAACGCACAGGTATGTCATCTTGTAAGACTTTTTTAAATAACTTCATTGACTCACAAAATATCTTTGTTACACAGATAAACCCAAGAAAAACATGTATTTGTTTGACTTTTTGGGAGGTTAGTCCAAAATTAGCTAATGAGTGATTGATATAAGTGATAATGTGTGTACTGCAAAGGTGCAATCCATTGCAATCCATTTGTCATTGTGTTAGTGAGCTGCTTTTGTAAAGGATGTTGTAACATTTAAGTTAAGTCTCATTAACATACCATCTTCAACAGAGAAGGTGTCCCTTACAATATGTATACCTTTGATGTGTCTACCCAGTGAATCCTTTGTAAACCCTCTAAATGACATATTTTCCTCTTTTTATTTACCATAACTCATGGAAATCTACCATTAAAGAGAGAGAAAGTTCATTTGCTTTTGTATTAATCTTTTAATTTTCATAACTGATCCACATTCAACTTCTCCCCAGGATCTTAGCAAGGTATCCTTCAAATAGGTGATGACAAAAGACATGATTATCAGCTTGAGGGTGTCAGTTTGATGGAACACCAAATTCCTCTGTCTAATTTACACTGGAATTCACAGAATTTAGTAGGGAGAATGTCTGATCAGATAAGATTTTGGGAGTTGAAGGCTGAAAAGCTCACACTTTTTTTTGGCAGATGAAGTCAGCAGTGATGAATCACAGGCTCTCCAAGCTCTGAGTAACTATTGGGTTACACAGATTGCCAGAAACAAAGACATATTGAAAAGAGCCCCACCTAAAAACCAGCAGGAGGAAGACTTTTACAACAAGTACTGTGATAAGGAAGGCAAGCTGTCTATCACTGCTGCTACCCATCTCATGAGGTACACTGTATATAGGGTGAACAGAGGCTTGACTCCATTAAAACTTGTTATTCAGATGGGTTTTTTTTTTATGTTCCACCCTTAAGATATAAGAGTGCTTCCAACCAATATTGGCCAATCAAACCTCTTAGATTTTCCTCATGACTACCTTGCCATGTGATAATTACTTGTCTTTATTAGCCATTTGGTCTGGTCTGTGTGCATGCAAGGGATAAGGGGGAAAAGATAATTATCAATTGAAGTATTATTTTTAAGCAAATTTATAAAGTATATAAACGATGGTACAATTATTCTTACCATAAAATCCCTTGATGAGTAGGCAATCACAAAACAGGCTTGTAGGGACGAAAGTATAAGTATAGTCTCTCTCTCTCTCTCTTTTTTTTTTTTTTACCCCTGTCACAACATATATCATGCTCTACTCCTACATATCAATACACACAGACTTCATATATATATATATATATATATATATATATATATAATTCAGTAGATCACAGATGATATGAAAATGAAAACAGGAGAGAACAACAAATTGGGCACACAAGGGGAAGCTGAATTGAGTCACTGATGTTCCTAGCACATCTGGATGTTTTCTACTGTCTTTTAGTGTACAGAAGCATGCAACATGGAATGTACCTTTTTAATATCAATTATGTCAACTACAATATCAATACAATCTAAAGCATAAATGTGAGAAGGATTAAGTAAAATATTAATTAGGGGATTATTAGCTGATCCAATACCAAATTCTCCAAACTAATATCATAAGAATTTTATGGTGGAGATAAGGAGAATTACTAACAAGGTATCAGGAGTAAAAAGGTTAAATTGTGTGTGAAGGTGTTTCCTATGCAACTTCTTGAAAGTACTTGTGTCTGCTTACTTGACAAGGGCTATCCAGGGAAGCTTTTGGAAGTCTTTAAGGTGTCAGGAACCCAGTTAATAATTAAGTAAATTTTATACCTAGCTGCTGTATTAGCCATCAAATGTAATAATTCTTTCAAGGCTAAAGCTCTATTTTCTTATTGTTAGCCTTCCTTATGTGATCACAGTGTGCCTGAAAAACAATGCCCAGATTGAGGTGGTTGTCTCTAATCGAGAGAAGGCCTTGCAGGAGTCTGAAGAGCTGCAACAGAGCTACTTTGAAGTGGTTGAAGCCATGGCAATGCACTTAATGTAAGACCTCAAAACTAAAAGTAACAAGAGGTAAGATTGAGCTAACTTGTGAAATAATTTGTAAATTTGCCAGCTGCATTCTTAAGGTAGGGGAATTGGGATGGAAGGAAGGGGAATTGAGATGGAAGGAGTAGAGCACTGGCAGGTTGTTGCCTTCTTGTGAGAAACATTAATTTACATTTTTAAGCATCACCATATATTTTCACTATACTCTCCCTCTTCCAAAAATGGGTAACACCAAATAATTTGGTTTTATCCATTGAGTGAATAATGTGAATTGGTCACTGCGTGGAGTTCCAAAAGCTGATGTTTTGAGTGTTGGCCTTTGGACATTTACTGTGATGTTGGGTTGACACTTGAAACATCAGCTTTGAAACTCTTTGCGGTGGCCAATTTAAACTACCAACTCAGTTGATAAAACTAAATTATCTTGTTATTCCCCTCACCAATGAAGCACCACAGTTTCTTTAGAAACTTCCCCCTTTTTTATAGTTTACAACTAATTTTAAGACCATTTTGGTCTGACATTAAAAAAAAGTTGCAACACTCAAGTTACCATACCAATCTGCAAGAACAGTTACAAGTAAAAAGAGTATCACACCATGGGACAAATGGCAACTTTTGATGATGATGTATCTTGGGGGGGAGGGGGGGTGGTAGGGTTAGGGTTGGGGGGGGGGGGGGGGAGCATTTGAATTTATAACTAGCCCAATGATCACTGTACTGAAATCAGCCTATGGCCAATGACAAACAAACCATGGGTTGGTCAGCCAATAATTGTGCAAGGAAAACTGTGGGTGTATGATAAGTAATTTAAACACCTGGCCAGATCAATGTGTTGTGTTCATGAGCAAAACACTTCACTCTTACAGTGCTTCTCTCCACTCAGGAGTATAAATGGGTGAAAGTGAATTGTAAGGGAAGCCTGATGAAACACTGGGGGTAACCTTGCAATGAACTACTAAAGGGAAACTGGTGTAAGCTGTGGCTGGGTGGGTCAATAGGCTCAAATATGGACTTGACCTTATATAGACTTTTTTAATGTTTATTTTGGTTTTTTTTTCTTTTTCAGACCAAGGAGAGGTGAAATTTGTAATTTCACTCTTGGTGCAAGGGTAAACTACTTTTTTTGGTAACAATAGGTTAAAGTTTATGAAGTAATATTCGTTAGTCAATGTCCTATGACTTAAAAAAAATGTTTGAGAAACCTTTGATATGATGTTGCAACATGTGCATAGTGTGGTAACAATAGGTTAAAGTTTATGAAGTAATATTCGTTAGTTAATGTCCTATGACTTAAAAAAAATGTTCAAGAAACCTTTGATATGATGTTTAGGCATGTGCATAGTATAGACTTTTAGTAAATCAAGTTTACAAAGCGTGAAAACATTACGTAAAGATGTGAATGGTGTTTGTTTTAGGCATACACTGATTTAATTTGGAATTAGTTGCTTTTTGTACTTTTTTTTACTTACAATGTGAGATACATGTACCAAAGCATCACGTAACAGAAAGATGAACTGCAGGATGTTGGGGTTGTACAAGAAGACTGAAGTGATTTGATGCTAGATATTGATTATAAATAATGAATTTAAAAGATGATGAATTAAAGGTGAAAACATATATTAGTGATCAATTGTTTTACTTTTGAATCAATTTTCTACAATTGTTGAATTCTTAAAGTGAGAAGTTCCTGGGGCCTCCCTCTAAACCCTTTAAGCCTTTCACTCCCAAGATCTAATTAGTATTTCTCCTTACTATCTGCCTTACAGTTCTTACTATTTTAGTTCAGAGAATTTGGTATTGGATCAACTAAGAAACCCATAATTTATATTCTTCTCTGTCCTCATCACCTACTTGCTTGATATTGTATTGATGTGGTAAGGAGAAATTCTGTCTTGGTCACTTGTGGGAGTGAAAGGGTTAACCCTTTAGAGTGACAGCTGAATCTGATATTAGTGACAAAAGTATGAAGGAAATGATCTCCAACTTGGATCACTCAGGTGTTGAACAAATTCTCCTTCCTAGTACCACTGAAAATGTAGAAAAAATATGGAGAATATGTTTACTAGTCAGGGTTACACAGTGATTGTTTCCTCCAAAAGGAATGCATTCTTTGGTTAAGAGTTGTGTGAAGAGCTTTGGAACTTCAAAGATTTCTTAAGAACCTCCCTTTCATCTTCAATGCCCCCACTGGGTTAGGTAGGCCAAGGTTTACCGGGGGTCTGGTACAAAGTGCTAGACCTCTTGCAGACCTCTTGCTGATTCGGTTGCTCAAGGCCTGGTACTTTTCCGCGGGCGACGAAACACTCGTGCAGAAATGCTAATAATAACGAAGGCCAACTCGCCGGCTACAGAGCACCGGGGTATTCTCATTGGAACTCAATTTAAACCCACCTTATCAAGGAACCAAACAAACCCTGATACTCCAACGAAAGTCGAAACTTTAACCTGAGTGATTACCGAAAACATTTTATTTCATAACAGTAAAATATAAATATATTCAATTAATTCATCTCATTGGACCCTACAACTGAGAAGAATTTCCCACAATGTACACCATTAAAATAAATTTATGGTCCCAATTGGTCAAACCACTCAAATTTTACGTCTGGTTTGTGCCAATATTCAATTATTGCGATTTTGGGCACTTAGACACTTAGGTTGGAAGCATTGTCCTTAACCGCTGTTCATCTCGTAGCATTGCAAAGCGTTTGCGTTAAAATTCTCAAGTGGTTCAGGAAAAATAATATAAAATAATAATTGAACTAAGCAAGCTCAAGTCATACGCGTGATTTCCCACTCGAACGAGCGCGCAGCGCAAGTTTGTTTCGAAATCAGACCAAAATTTTACTTAGCAGGTAATTTAGTGTTAACAACTGGGTTGAAAACGTAAATTAGCCACCGTAAAGAGTAAAAAAGCTAGCTTTTTTACTCTTTACGGTGGCTAATTTACGTTTTCAACCCAGTTGTTAACACTAAATTACCTGCTATACTCTCCCACCGACGCAGCACCACAGTTTCTTTAGAAACTTACCCCAAAATTTTACTTAGTTCAATTACCACTACATAACATCCATTTTGAAATCACAAAATTCAATCGCCCAGTTAGAGGATTTTAACCAGTACAAGTATTTTAAAAGTTGCAAAATTGGCCACATACTGGTTTCTTTGCCTTTCAGTTTCCTACGATCTGCTTTGTTACTGTTAACACGCCTGGAAATCTAATTGGTTGTTTTGTTTTGTTGTTGCATCCTCACTGACTGGGAAGAAGATGCGATTTGTATATGTAATCACATGAGGCCAAGTACTATTAAGGATTAATTGCACGAGAGTTTTCAAAATTTTCCAAAATTGCCCGAGTCGCGAAACGACGAGGGCAATTTGGAAAATTTTGAAAACTCAAGTGCAATTAATCCTTAATAGTACGAGGTCTCATGGGATTACTTGTTTATCAATAAAGGGCAAAATTTATACGAAGGAAAATCACGCGCGCAGTCTATTTTTATCTGGGAAGCCTTTTTAGCGCTACGGCAAATCATCAATCAAATTGAACTGACCAATCGATTCAATGAAATTTTATTCTCTTAAACTGTTTCAATTAATTTCGCATTTCAAAAGTTCAATTAATTCGTCGTCCGCTTCAATAAAACGGCAAGCCATTGTGGCAACAAAAACTTGATAACAAATTTCAAGATAACGAAGGGTTGCTATGCAACGGATTAGCCAATCATTAACAGGTAATCATGCCCTCTCTTGATTACTAAAAATGCCCTCGATTAAGAAAAAAATGCCCTCTCTCTCAACCAATCAGCGCTCAGTAATTTTGCCCTTTATTGATAAAGGGGGGAAAAGTGCGATTCGTGAGTAAAGCACACTGCTGAGGGCCAATCAGATTGAAACGACCGCCAGAGATTTCAAAAGGAATGAAATAAAATGGAAATTGTTCATATATATATATATATATACTGTGAAGTGGTGTATATATATATATATATATACACCACTTCACAGTATATAAAGCGCGGCAAGTTGTCACTTCAGTACCTTGATAATATTATTTCAAACATGGACTCCGTTAAAAGTTTGGAAATTGTAACTAATACCTTACTTAAGTAAGTCCCCGAGAAAAAGACTCTGAGAGAGGAGGGTTTCTTGGGAAGAAAAATATTTAACCCTTCCCTATTAGCAATTCTTCCTCTCTTTTTCGTTTAACCTTTTAATTTCTCTGTTTATGAGCTATTATTTTGGACCATTCTGAGGATCCAAGTTTCATTCCACATCCAATAATTAAAATGGAGACATGACAATTCACTCTATGGCGACAAAATGAATTACAAGACCACTGCTTGTCGCTTGTACCACATATTTACCATTTGAAACCAACCAAGTACCCAGAGTTCTTTCTTCTGAACTCGAGAGAGGGAGGAAGAGGATGCTGAGACAAAGTTTTCCGCTAACACGGCTAGGTCCGTTCTAACGCAGATAAACACTAATCAGGACCATTATTAGTAACTTTTTCAACGTATGTCGCTGGAAAGGCCCCTTCTACCGAGCCAGTTCTCCCAAAGATCCATCCATTGCCTTCGTCTCTGATCTGAACAACTATCTGTGATAAGAAAAATAATTCAATCAGAAAAAAGTCCAAATTCAGTTAATTGAAATTAAAAACGAACAACCTATCGACTGTTATCTTCGGGAAAGTCCCAAAACAACTTCTTTCTTATTTACCGAGTATTCTCTTTGAGTACAAGATGTCCGTTTGTTTTTAGCTTTGTTTTTAGCTAAGGGAACGTTTCAGTAAAGGTCGCAAAACGGACCAGACTCGAAAAGGTTGTTTCCGAATTGTAAACAACCACTAGGGAGCCAGTGTTTGGAGGCTTAAAGATATCTCTGTGACTACTTAACTGTTCTAAAGAAAATAGATTCATGAAACTGTGTATAAGGTCTTTAAGACACGCACTTCGAAAAGAAATATTTTGGTACTCAAAGGCCAAAGGTACGTGACCTCGGATAAAAGTCAGTATCTGAGCAAACTGTGCACTTACCCCTTCCCTAACCTAATATCAACCCGAATGAAAAAAGAGGGTTAAGTTTCTAAAGAAACTGTAGTGCTGCATCGCTGGGAGAGTATAACAAGGTAATTTAGTATTATCAACTGAGTTGATATCGTTTAAAGCGTTAGCCCTTCGTCAGAGCAATTGCAGATAACCCTAACTTGTTCTCGGTTGACTGGTGTTGGGTTAGGGATGGGGTAGATGTGCACTTGTTCAGAAACCATTGACAATAACCGCGGCCTCCATGCCCTTGTTCATCTCGATTGACGAGTGCACGCTAAAATATACAGAACACCGCTGACCTGATTAGCCTGAATTGTCAACTCGTCTCCTTCTTGACCAGTAAAATTAAACAGGCATCGAAGAATGACATCAGTAGCAGAAATTACCTACAATGAAGTCAGAGCCAAGAAAAACCGTTAGGCCTTGAAATGTAAAAAATATTACCAAAGAGAGATTTCGAAACAATTATGCTAACAGTAGGACACATGACAGCTGCAAAGAAGAGTAGGCAACAAAGATTGATAAGAGATGAGATTACACGCCAGCAATATAAATAAGCTGGAGACATTAAATCGAGAAAACAAGTTAGCTACTGAAATGAAACACAATAACATGCGTTATATTTAAAACAAAACACTAAAAATAAAAAAAAAGTGGCTCGAAAATTGCACAGTCCAAACGAGTACTTTCCTCACTTCAGGCGACATACTTGACGTCTCCGATGAGAATTTTAAAAAAATTACCATAGAGAGATTCCGAAACAAGTTTACGCAACAGCAGGACACATTACAGCTTTGAAGGGGACTAGAAAACAACGATTGATGAGAGATGAGATTACGCGTCAGCCTTATAGATGTGCCGGGGGCGTCTGATCGAGAAAACATGGTATTCTGATTGGTTCCGCCAACTCCGCCGGTTATCAGCTAATACTCCGAGTCACCTTACCTAGAAATGCATTGCGACGTGCTCAAGCTGAAAAATTTTTGCTGAAAGTATTCAAACGTTTAGTATTTAATGAAATTTAATAAAACAGTTTTTCCATTCGCTCGTTGAATAAGAGATTGGTTAAAACCAACTTAGCGCTACACGCCTCGTTGGTTATTTGCCATCTCATATCCAATGCGCGATTATGGAATAATTATTAATTCTACCTGTACGTATGAAGCAGGGAAGAACCCTGTTTTTCCTTTACTTGTGCCCTAGTAACAACAAAAAAAATTTTTTAAGCGACACAACATTTTGAGGCATCGAAAAAAGCAGTTCATTGTTCATGCTTTACAGATTGCCCAGTGACTCCTCGGTTTCACGTAAGGCTGAACAGGCGTAATTTTTTCTGCGTTTTTCAAGAGAGTGGAGGCAAACTCTTTGAAAGAACAAAGGGCGAACGCCAAAAAAATCACGCCTGTTCACTAGCTAACGCATCGGAACCGAAAGACGATTCGTCTTGAGGGTCACAGCTTTTTTGTCCTTGTCCTACACTCCTGAAATAACGAATAACATCTTTATTTCCTCGACAAGTAAGTTCAAAACATACCATCTTTCGTAATATTTTAAAATGACGACCCTACGCGC